GCGTTTTCAAAAATACCAGGGTACGTGTGGACGTAGCCTAAGTTTTAATCAGCTGATATGTGTCGTAGGAGAAACAACACAATCTGGACTTGTCAAAGTGAAAAAGCTCTTGTTAGCACTTCCTCTCAGCTCCTTACTGTACACGCTTGCAAATAAAGACACAATGCAGAGAAAAAACAGTGAAGCTGGAAACATGATTATAAAAAAGTTTTTTTTTTAAAACAGCAACTAAAGCGATCTGCAATAGTGTCTGCAAAAGTCAATGCTACCTGAGGTAATGGTGAATAAGTTCCTCCACAGTGAGGAGGTCTTCAGGCGGAGGGACCACTGGCATGGGGAACTGGTGCTGCAGGGGGCTGGGCTGCAGTGTTTGGAAGGAGGCTTGGCAGATTAGTATGGGCTGTCCATGCTGGATGGCCTTCACAGAGCGCACGGTGAAGCTGCGGCCGTCTCGCGTGCGGTCCACCTGGTAAAGCACCGGAACCTTTGGATCACCTGGAAAACACCAAGAACAGTAAAGTGCTATCATAACTGACTGAAAATGAAAACAGGTGCACATTTGCTTGTACAGGAAAAGAAGAGGAGATGAAGCTATTTAAGCCAATCTGTATGTTGTCTCTCTCTCTCTGTCTTTGCTGACTTCCAAATGGATTCTTTGTAATGTTATTCTTTGCACTGGAGCTTCTCCTGCTTTCAAATTTCAAATCATCACCGAGGAAGTTCAGCTCATCTTACCTGCTCGGACAAAGTAGCAGTGCAGAGAGTGGGCGTACAGGCTGTCACTCACAGACTTGGCCGCAGCCACCAGGGCCTGGCCAACTATCTGACCTCCAAACAGACGCTGAGTGCGGGGCACCCAGTGGTGGGTCCCCCTGTGGGAACAGAGGATACACTGCTGAAAGGTAATCAGGCAAATGCTTATAAAAGGTGAACTGAACTTATCACAGTACGTAAAGGAAATTAGTGTTTGGTGGATTATTTTATTTATATACCATTTGAAATCCTGTTTATTTCCCCTTAAATGGTGCCACATTTGGATCTATCATCTTACACCTCTGTTGATGACAAGCCTTGCTTTTCCAGTGAGGGAGACACCGCCCCACACCATCACACTGCCTCCACCAAAAGCTGTTGCCCTATTGGTGCAGCAATCAGTGTAGTGTTCTCTACATCTTCTCCACACTTTGACCCTATGATCCCGTTGCTGTCGCAGAATATGAACTCATTGCTGAACATAACTTTCCTCCCAACACGTTCTCATCCCAATGTCTAACATACCGACGCAATGTGCCAAATCGTCGGCATGTTACGAGGCATGAGAGCCAAATATTCCACATAACAGGGAGCGCATCCCCTGTTATATGGAATTTGGCCTTAAATTTGGAGTTGGTACTAGGGCTCCATCCAGATAATGCAGCAGCTTGGTTTTGTGTAAAACAGGCTTGAAGTTGCCCTATGCATAATTTCCATAAAGTCCATAATTTCATTGTACATGTACAATGACAACAAATGCCTATTCCATTGATTCCTAATCAGTCAAACGTGGCGTGCTTAGAGCAGACACCTGCTGACCGCTGTAGGAGGGTCCATGCTCACAGGTGCTGCTTGCTAATCAGGAGC